GTATTCAGTATGCTATAAGTTCCTACCCACCATTCCACTCGAAGAACGAGACAATAGATGAGTGGTGCTCTGTGCAGGCAACTAATTGCGACTATTAATATTACATAATATTGGTCACAACGATGGAAGATGTGCTGCCGTTTGTTGTTGTAGTCGGCTAGCTGGATGGCTATTCGAGCAAAAGATTATGACTGTTTCGAATATCTAAGTTATCGTCTTGGTTTCGCCAGACTTTTTCTAATGATCGTAGAGAGAATTCCCATCTTGTATTGAATACTTCCTGCAGTGCTCTGCCGACATGGGTGGCAGAGAATCCCACGCGGCTCACAAGCTGACTAGCCTCAGATCAGCTGGGATCGACAGTGCTAACAGTTTTGTCTGCGAAGCACGGATTTGATACGTAGGTCTAATTCTCGCTTAAACCGTCGATGCATTCAATAGCCGCTAACGATGCGAGATGAAGTCGAATGTATGCAGTACCAACTGTTAAATGCTCACCCAAATCCAGATTCGCCATGTCCACGTGGTGTGGTAGTTAACACGTTTGCCTCTGGAAGTGATAATAATGCGTTCGGTCCCCACCGTAGACACCTGCGGGCAGAGATATTGCCAATATCACAGCATCATTGTGGTTGAGTCACACATAAGGCCCTGCCGTGAAAGATTATAATGAGCAGTAAATAAAAAGTTAACACCGTGATTTTCACTACAGCTTCAGCTTAACTGGGTTCATTGCTATTTGGGGTCGCCAGACCAATCTCGTTGATGGGTTATTGCTGATGGCACTCATCGATAGAACTAGCTGAGCGGCGAGCGAACGAAGGATACGCATGGTGTGGCGGGGAACGCGTTAGACCTCGGAAAGCATAACATAGCGTTCGATCCTGGACACCTACGGTCCGGAGTGTTTTGCAAATATCTCAGCATCTTCGTGGAGTCTTCTCAAATTTAACCGGCGTTCACAACGCTTAGGTGTGATGCAACAGATGGACAACAATGGACAAAAGCAGAATGCAAGTGTTTTCTTGGGCAACCACTCACACAGTAGCCGGGGATGTCTGTATCTCAGGTCAACCTTTTGAATTCTCAGATGGAGAAGCTTTTAGAAATTCGGAATGGACATCGTGAGCTCCATCATTTTCGAAGAAGACTGCCATTTCTACGAGGATTGAGTGAGAAAGAAACAAATGGAGAGTGCGCTGACTACTGCATCAGCGGTGAAGGTGGACTCTCCAAGAAAGTGTCCAAATATATGTGAAAACCATCTGTTTTCTTGTTTTCGGATAGCTAGGTGGTGGTCCAGTCTTACAATGCTTCCTCGATGGGTTTTGCTGCAATTTCAATATGGCAGTAACATCTTGCATCCTTGGAGATAGCTGGGCTAAGGAGTTTCCACCTGGATTAGAGAAGAGCGTTGGGGAGATCGAACTAGTCTCTTGCTTGCTGGGCGACGGCACCACAATCTGCTGCGCCATCCCCATCGCAAAGTAAAATTTCAGTTAGAATAAAAGTCAAAATGGTACTGATAGCACTGTTAGGTAGAAAACTAGGTCAGAGAAAGGCAAAGCAAGAGCCTCAGGGGTGCAATGTGTAACATCTGTTGAAAATTTAATTATGTGAGGCAAATTAGTGAAGCGCTGGAGAGTTCGAAAGCACAAGGTATAGCCCAGTAAGCAGAGTTTGTAATGCTGGTAAAAACTTTTTCTGCAAACACATGTCAATGAAAAAGCTAGCGAAGCACCTCGGCTCCAACAAGAGCTCGACATTTGAGTGATTAATATCCGAATCGGAGAACGTGTGCAGCGAATACTGTAATTTTGCACTACTTCAAGCTTTTTACAGCTTCGACGACTTCAATATCAAGGTTGCTGTCAAAAGAAGGATTTGTATCACATCGAGATCCAAAGACGGGAAAAATAGAACAAGAAGAAAGAAAAATTGTCTGAGACCACTGTAATACCATTACCGCAGACAACTCCAGGAGCTCTCATCTTGACATTAGGCCTGTGAGACTCCTAAGGAAATTAACAAAATCATCGTAACGTTTGCGTAACCAATGCCGAGTTTCCTCAAAATATTACACAGGATTGGACTACACTATTTTTCGTGCCACGTTCTCCCGTTATGAAAATTGATGCGCTTCACCAATTTATGTAGTAAATTGCTTGTCATTTAGCATTTTTTAATTATTTTTTTAAAACTTGTTCTTAAAGAAATTTTTTTATAGACAGCATCAGCGTGGTAAGGAACGGCTTACCGCACACTTTACCATTATTAGTAAGCAAAGAATTACCAAGACTAAGGTAAAAATATGTTACTCTTCGGAGGCTTCTGAAATGAGACAACGTATAGCTGCATCTTCTACAGGCACTTAACATCTTATGCTAAAACCAAAGCTTACAGAAAAGCATAAAAAAAGAAAGACCTCAAAGAGGGAAAAATGTTACGAAAAGGTGGTGGCACAAAGGCATCACTAGAAGCTCCATAAGGCTTGGAATCGATGAAAAATAATACTCTTCTTGAAAAAAGCCAGAAATGTGATAACTATGTTACAAAGGATGCGATTATTGGATCTGACTACATATGGGCTCATGTCTTTTTCTACTCTTTCTTTTTGGTTTCACAATTTGTTAACTTCTATATTTTAGATTAAGCATATTTGCATAACGTCAACAGTCTGATTAAAACGAACATTTCCACACCAAAGCGTTCAAATCCACCTAGGTCTGCGTATATATGAACTCCTTGACAATCTTCATAGGAGTCTCTCAGTGGTAAGTGCAGCCCAATTTTCGTTTTTCATTGCTTAGAAAACGTGCTATAAAACGAAGAAGAGAAAAAAGCAAAGAATGGAAAAAGTGTTTTTATTCTAAAATGACAGATTCTTGCGAGTGAACAATTGAACAAAAACATATCCCGAACATTTCACATAGTATTCTGCAAGTCTGAAGATTGCAGGCTTGCCGACATCCAACTCAATATAACCGCTTATTTCCACTGAACAGCATTTTTAAATACTTCATCTTAGGATTTTTCTAAAACACCTTTGTGAATTTTAAAGCATTGAGCTCGGCGGCTACGGAAGTGCTGCGCAAGTGCCTCGTTGATAACTCCCAATTCACAAGACGATGCTTAGACGTTAGTATTTTGCAGGAAAAGGAAAGAATGGTACTAGTGTATACACATGTTCTATAAAGAAAACTCTACTTTTCTTGTAACAACATATGCCTAAAAACGCTAAGTACACACACAGCCATCCACGCACACAAACACACACAGATACGCACATGCACATACATAAAATTGGCAACAGTAATGACGATAATAATTAAAAAAAGGCAAGTAGAGAAGGAAAAAAAACTTGATATACAGACAATGCCATATATGTATATTTGCGTATATGTATACCTGTATACATCTATACATACATCGACAGTTTTCTCATAGACAATAGAGCTACAGTGGTTGCTGTTAAAAGCGCTACCCGCAGTAATTGGTGAATAGTAATAGTGTGCTGGACATTCGTCATTTACTCTGTTCATTGACCATACCTACTATTTCTTTTATATTTTTGACGTCGATTATGGTAGTTGGGCGTTACTAGCATGAGATTACGTGGTATGAATGAAATTTCTTCTACTGCTGATTCAACCCTGAATAACATCATAGTAATCGACGACGTTGTCTTTGTTTTCGGATAACGTAGCCGATTTGCACAGGTCACCAAAACAGTAGTCAGCCGAAATGCGAATTCGATCCTTCTCAAAAATCACTTCTGATGTCGTCTGCTCAAAATCGAAAATGATCGGCAAATGGATACCTGGAAGAAAGACTTAAAGATAAAATGCGTAAAATGCATGACGCCGATCAATTCCTTAGGGATGATTTATGCCTCCCGCTCCAATCGCACTATCATAGAAGTGATTGAGTGCATTGCTGGTCCATATACAAGATGGGCTCAGGTGTACTAAATCATTGGTTTCTATCAAGCAGGGAAATGCGGTACTAACTCATCGACATTAAGTATTATGCTAAGCATGGTGAACCCAGTACTCGTGATCGAACCAAGGACCACTGGCGTACACTTTGGGGTATATGCAGCCAGTGCGGATACACGTGAAGATTGGATAGATTTCTTTTTGAATAATGCTACGGAACAAGAAACAAATTCTTTAAAATCTTACCGTTCTAACGTGGGGAAAAAATGGCGGAAATAAATATGAGTAAATGAAATAGATGAAAATAGAATAAATATAAGTAAATGAAATGAGAAATTCCTATCATTCCAACAACATTCGGGGAGGGAATTTATCGACAAAGGATTCAAAGTTTAACCCCACTTTATTTTCGAAAATCTTAACCTAACCCTTAACAGAGTCTAGCAGAACACGTAAAAATGTCTTAGCTCTTTACTTTTCTTCGTTTATTTTCGAAAAGCTGCGGTAAAAACTTGCCTCCAGTCAATTTTGTTGCCATGTCTTCATTGAGAATCAGTTCAGTGAGGGCGTTCACTAAGAACTCCAACGACCCTTCGTCAATACCGTCCACTAGTGATGAAACCTTCAAAAGAGAAAGAATTAATGATAAAAAGCAATATTGTTTTTTGTAAGGCCGAAACGGATAACTAAACAACCTCTCGAATTTTAAAGCGTTCGATATGCATGTCACCGTGAAGTACGTAGCTATGAAATCTCACCTAAAGTGAAAACAGATAAAAATTAAAAGCGTGTGCTCTCTAATTATTTATGAATGACACAAATAGCCACGTGTAATAGGCAGTAAGTAGAAAAGTTAACATTGTGATTTCGACTACAGCCTCAGCTTAACTAGATTCATTGCCGATTTAGGCTCCCCAGATCAATCCCGCTGATGGGTGATTGCTGTTGCAAAGATCAGCAGAACTAGCTGAAAGACAGACAAAACGAAGGGCCCGCATGGTGTGGTGGTGAACGCGTTATTCGCCGGAAAGGACAATAGCACGTTCGTTCACCAGCGCAGACACCTGCGGTCCGGAGTTTTGCAAATACCTCAGCATCGTTGTGGTTATATCCTACTAGCTTTTTTTGATACATAAAAACACTGCCAATTAGAATGGCAAATCTCTTCTAAAGCATACTGGTACTGTTGCTCTTTGCAGATTTTGTGTACTTTATGAATGTCCATGAATGGTGGTCGAAGTGATTCTTTCTGTAATCCATCCGCAATGCATCACCGGCAACTGTGGATCGGAGGAAATTTTTCTCAAAAGTGTCTAGCACTACTCTGGCTCCCTCGCGTGGGTGGAGGACTTTGTCTGTTCAAGACGGTCGAATCGGTAGTGACCTTCTGCGTGTTCCACACCACCTTAGTCGCTGTATATCCTACACCGTTCCTTAGGCGTAAAGGCAGAAACTTTTTAAACTTGACAGGAATCAGAAATGCAATCCAAGATGTCTTTTGGTTTTCGCCTTATTAGGCATCGAAAGCCCCTTTATTATCGGACGATGATTTTTTTTTCTTATATATCCGCCGCTCGTTAACAAATGATAAGCATCAAAGTCGAACATTTTAAAAAAGTGAATCACGCATGATAAGGCAAAAGGATTTCCGATGATGGAAATAGCAAAGGCAAAAGTGCTGAAGTGAATTAAACGTAACTTTTCTAGTTTAACTTCGGCGTCCATTGCTGATGTTAGAAATCGACGAATACGGTCACCTTGCTTGAAATAAAGAAAATTATCTCTGCGATGTGAAATAAGTAGAAAAGCTACTTTTCTAAACAACAATTAGATTTACGAATCGCTCAGCGATTTGCACTAACAACACCTGAACGAATGCATCTACACGCGAATCAATGTAGATGGTAGCGTTTCCGTCGCGAATGATCATCCGAGGATAGGAGATTGTATGTGATTTAATGATCACTTCACCTCCAGGAAATCGTTGTCCAAGAGCTTAAAAAATATCTCCCTTGCTCAGTCAAAAATTCGATAATCTACGACTAATTTGGGCTAATTGGATGTAATAATTGCTCCACATCGATAAAAAAGGATAAAGAATAGAGCTCTCAGCATTGATCAATCCCTGAGGAGTGAGCCATGGATTCGACTCTATTAAGCATCGTTTGGAGGTGACTGAATGAATATCTGACTTTTAAAATGACTCGTGGTGGCCTACCGATGTACCGAGTCAGCGCTGCTAACCTCCCAGACAAATTTGGTACCAGTTTTCGCACCCCGGAGGGGTGGAAGGCTTAGTGGGCCACGGGCGTGGAGATCGATTCCACGAGTGTGCTGCAGGGCACCTCCGACCGGTGCGGTACACGCTCTCTTATTGATTACCGAAATGGATTTCACTGTCTAGGGATAGTTGTAGACATAAGGATCCATTTTCACATATTGTTCTTTCACAACGAAATTTTTGTGACGATTTTTGAAGCTGACATGCGAAAGTACCTGGAAACAGTGTGCCGGCACAAATATCATCACCCGGACAGTTGGTTTTAAGGTAACCAGCTATTGCCGAATTGTTCTGTGCAGCTTTACTAATCTCATAGTCGAATTTCCTGTAATGAAAATTGGAAGTGATTCGTTAATTTCATCGTTCCATCAAAGCTTTGCGTGCTGCGTGGTGTGACGCGCGGTGTGACGGGTTGCGTGACGCTCTGGAAAGCATTGTGAAATTAATTGTGACAGAAACCTACACTATCGCCCAAAGTTAGAAGATGAAACGTTTCTTCTTAATGAAAATATAGTGCATTTCAATTTTCATTCATTTCGTTTATACTTGATACTTGAATGGCCCATCCTCACTGGTTGTGCGGGCCCCAGCATAATCTCCATTTTTCGGAGATTTGCTGGTCAAGCCCTTATGGTTCTTTGGAATCCCGAGGTCAGCCTGGGCAAAGGCTGCCTCAGATCCTCACCACCACAGGGCAGTCACTGCCCTTGTAGATCAGAGAAAAATCTGCCACCAAGCGAGTAGTTTGATACCAGAGGGGTGGTGGATCATGGTACTCGTTTACTTTCAGCTGGGCTTCCTAATGTAAACGCTGGGCTCGTTCTCAGATTGGGAGTTTTATTGGGGGATGAATCTTCCAGCTTTACATCGCAGCCCGACAGCCAGGAACACCTCCCAGCCAAGGTGAGGTGGTCAATCGTTGGGAGGATTTCGCTTATAATGCATAAGAAACAGGAAACGAAGGTCGTTTCATCAAGCGTTTTTAAAGAAAAATATTCAAGAAAATTTTAAAAAATCATACTGAGTTGAGAATGTCGGCCTGACATCTGGAGGAAATTTTAGGATGAAGTAAAGTATTTGATGCCTCAAACTAAGACGACAAATATTGTTTCATAGCAGCTACCTGTATTGATCCATCCAAAACAGTAGACTAGACATAGTGTAGTTCGATAAGATAAAGTCGATCATTTTACCACTCGATTGACCCTCCACAAGCGGATTTGCACGAAATGGCAGTCGAAAGTCATTTAGACGTGTTCTACCTGAAGTTGAAAGCCCTTGTATTTTTTAATTACTCTAATGAGCTAAGGAAAGAAGGCAAGGACTAGAACACACACCTTGACGAAGAATTCCGAAGGCGTTGCCACGATGCCTCAACGTAACATGCTCGTCTGAATATTCAACGGGGCTCAAAAGACCGTAGTTAACGAAGAAATGTTCAAACAAAGCAGCACTCATCGGTGTATTCATAAGTCTATTCGATACAACTGGCATGAGTTCAGCGTGGAATGTCGGACAGATCACCTAACAAGCGTCTAGACTTAAATTGTAGAACGGTGTTAGGAAAAAAAACGAACTAGTTAGCATACAAACACCATGTATATAGGAAGAAAACACGATGTTGCCAATGAAGAATATGGCTATTGATTCAGTTTGCAGATGAAATTCGAGGAACAGGTGTTGCTTCTTTGTGTTGCAACGTATTAAAAATCAGAAAATTTCAGCGAAAATTGCTTTATGCGTACTCCTCGAAATCTTTGACAGATTTTCTTCCTTTAAGCGAACTTCTGAGAAAAACTTGGCCCAGTTCGTCACCTGTTCAATCCGTTCCTTAACAAAATGGATGATAACTGGTAGGTAATTGGCGACTGCATTGTCTTCTGCTGCCAACGTAAGTTCCACATTATTGGCTACGACCTTGAATAATGATTAGAAAATCTTGAATGATAGTTCATAGAATTTCGTCTTACGAAAGAAAGTCGAAATACCTTGCAGTTTACAGGATCAGTTCTCAGGTGACCGTCAGCGTTGACGCCAGTCCGAAGAAGCAGCTCGACGTTTGTTCTTTAAAATCGTTCACTAAACCCGAAAAAGACACCTACATTATCTACTTCAAACGTCATGTCTCACCTATCAAATGAAAGAGGTGATGATCTAGTTAGTTCTCCAGTTGGTGTGTTCAAATGAAATATGGTGATAACGGTCACGTTCAAATTGGATCCCTAAACGAAATGCTCCAGATTTGACCCACAAGACTACGACTAGATGAAAAGTGAAGATGCCAGAAAAGCCTGACACAAAGCAGATTTAAAGAAGAAATTGCCAATTTAACAGATGAATTGTCGAAAAGTGGAACACTGATAGCTTGCAAGGGCTGTGAGGGAGATGTCAGCGTCGATCCAGTTAACGTACCTAGTCAGTGTTGTGCCTTCTAAACACCTTTGTGATCAAAAAAATTGCTAGCGAGATTAAGAGATCAAATTAGCTCTTTTCGCATTTGTTTTTAACTTCATATGATCACTTTTATATTTTCAAATATAGAAGCATTATGTATTATCTAGGTTGTCTTCCAGTGAAGGATTTCATGATATGGTTTTTGTGAAATTTCTGAGAACTGTGTGAGTTAAGGGTGCGTGTGGCGCGGTGGTTGGAGGCTCCACTGCGATACACACGTGGAATCGATCCTCACGTCCATAGCCCACCATGCCTTCTATCCCTTCGTGGTCGGCAGATTGGTACCAGACTTGTCTGGGAGGATGGCAACACCGGCTTGATACATCGGTAGGCCACCGCGAGTCATTATAAAAGCCAGATATGCATTCAATCACCTCCAAACGATATTTAATGAAGTCGAATGCATGGCGCATCTCTCAGAGATTGATCAACGCCAAGAGCTTTATCCTTCATTTACTGCGTGAGTTGAAAGTAGGAATTGTGAAGAAAAGGTGGTGCCATAATAGTGAACAGTCCATTCATATTATCATGCAGAAAAATACTAGCACGAAACTGTAAGCAGAATATTTTCTTCTTTCTAAAATTCTCAGCTTGACGGCTTCATTGATCTACCTTCTCATCGTGGCAAATAGTGTTCTTAGGTATGTGATTTGATGTTTGACTGAGGGTTCGTGGTTGAGCAGGACCATGCAAGGTGAGAACGATTTCGATGTTTTCATCAGGTAACCCGGTTATAGGTAAATCTCTGTCGCCGCAGAATTCGGTGAGCTACCGTGGAGATGTTCACATCAAAAGTAGTAAAAATAAAGCGCCTTGGCCCAAATGTTTTCCCTATGGAAGCCGAGCTAGTAAGAATCATCCCCGTAAAAGTGAAGCGCAGTTCTGACTCTCGATATTAGCAGATGTACATTCTACTGTTCAAGTTATTCGACGACGAACTAGATTATAGGCTATAAAGGTTAGAAGCACTGTATGTGGCATCGAAACCCTAAATATTTTATGTAGATATTTTAAGAATGTTAGCCTTTTCTTCTTTTATGCAAAGTTCATGTAATGAGAAATGATATTTGTAGATTGTTAATGGCTTTCATTACCGAAAAGATTAGGGTGTAAGCACGTGAGTGATATTCGAAAAATGAATAGTGAGCAAAAGCGATGCAAACAGGACAGTCGTTTTAGATTAATAGACAGGATCTGGTAGTTTATACCCGCCATGCGATTCCTTTACCAGGTAGCACAATCATTTTCGATAAAAGAGCAGACGAATCTTACCCGCCATGCGATTCCTTTACCAGGTAGCACAATCATTTTCGATAAAAGAGCAGACGAATCTTACCCGCCATGCGATTCCTTTACCAGGTAGCACAATCATTTTCGATAAAAGAGCAGACGAATCGAAGTGTGCTACTCGAACCGATGATAAGGTGATCGTCATCTGCAAGCATTGCTATCATATTTCTTTTTACCAGCACTTCTTCACAAGTCGAATATCGCATCTAAGCTAAAATTTTTTTAACGCTTGAAAAGCATGTGGAAAGTTTCTGAGCAAAACGTACTCAGTGAGGTTAGCTTTTACTCGATGAATCGATGAACGATCGCATTTTTACACAAAATCAACTTGATTTTGCCACCATAAAGACGGATTTTACTTTCAAAAGTGGTCGGCCTAGCCAAAGAAATAATCCATGAGTAGTGCAATCTCGGAACGGACGCTTATAACTTGATAACAGAAGTTTTTTCGTTGAACTTAAATATTTTTACGTATTTTTTGAATACTGAGGTATATCTTTTCGGTATTGGAAAGCTACCATCATCAACTTTCCGGGTCCTCAATCGCATTTCCAACTGATCATTTTACTTTTGCCCCTTTCTCTTTTCAATCGAATTGTAGGGCAATCCAATATTTTGCTAGCCGACTAATTCAATTTTTCACTGATAATGTAAGCTTTTGAAAACTTCTCTAAACGACGAACTTAGAGCCAAACAACATCCATTTTAATCTATTCGAACTCCATTTTATCCTACCCTCAAAAAAAAGTTCGGAAAATTAAATAATTTTATTAAGGCCTGTCTTATATTGAAATCAGAGGCACTTTAAGGTTTTCAAAGAAAGCACCTGTGCTTTCAAATGCTACGTAATTTTCGTATTTTATAGGGACATTTATCAATTGTTAAGAACGTTAGCTATAAAGAGTTCTCTGAATTTGTAGTTCCAAAGCTTAATTATCGTTTCTAAAATTCTATTTCTTTCTTCGCTTTTTTCACTGTTCTTCAATTCACTCACATTGTTGCCGTTTTTTCGCATGAAATGAATAAATGAATAGTTGATAATTATGGGAGATTGTCAAAGTGATAAGTGGTGATGGGTGGTAGACATACTTGCTTTCATTTCCAAGCAAGGAATAAACAAAAGGCAGTGAGAAAAATCAGTGTCTGTCTATTTCCTTCACACTAAAAATTCTCTGTTGCTCTGTCCTACTATCTAGTAATAGTGGCCACCAACTTCCGACGATACAGTAGCTGTGATGTTGAACGTGAAATCGCCGGCAGCGAAAAATCTTCGCAGACGTTCGCCAAGGTAGTTGGCCATTAGATCGAATCCCTAAGAAGTTTTTTTTTTCGTTAAGACTCGTAAGCGTTGAAAGCAAATAAAAAGAGAGGCGGTTCCTCTTACAGTCTTTCAGTATTAACCTTTTGATTAATTCTTGAAATAAATCCGGTATTTGATCCGGCATCCACAAGCAGACCGTCTAAAATGAAAACAATGAATAAGGCAAAAGCCATTAAGGACAGCAACGAGGAACAACTGAACAAAGAAAACTGAAAGCATGCTAGACTTAGGTAAGAATTACACTGATTTTGAAACCAAAGAAAAACAACTCACTGGCGAGATTTTGTGCATCCACTAAACCGAAAACTAGTGATAAAAATAATCGAATTCGCATTTTTTGCAGGGGTTTATTCCTGCAAAATCAAAGATCACCACCAAATTTTGTGATTAGGAGATAAAAAGTAAGAGCTTTAAGAGAATAGAGTTTTACCATGACGCGAGAAAGGACAAGAGAAAAGTGACAATGAGGAAATGATAACGCAAGAATGCATTATGCAAAGAAGGGATTGAGGAAGTGATGACGTAAGAAAACATAGGACTTGTCAAATGGTTCTATAATGAGTACCATTAATTAGATCTTCACTTTTGAAGAAGAGTGCTGTGGGAACAACGAAACATGGATAAGAGTGGATGTGTGAAAGATACACATGAATGATTTCAAACATCAAAGAGAGGGCTTGAAACCCTTTTTACTATCGAAAATGTTGAGTGAAAGATTGCTTGAACTTATGCTTATGATATTTTTTCTTGTTTAGAAGTTGCGTATCGCAACAAAAATCGTCAAGATATGGAGCGATCTATTTTTTTTCCTATCGTTCAGACAGATCTATCCAACACACAGTGCACAACTGTATTCGTGTAATAGTACCCAGGATCGACTTTCTGTTAACCTCGGCATTGAATTATGAATTCGTCGTTTTCGCTCCCAGCAATCGCAAGGTTGTTAAACAGCATACGTTTACTTCCATACAATAACACACAACACAGCCGTAGCTGACGTTTCGGCTGAATCGCCTTCTTCAGAGCCTGGAAGGGTACACACATTGTATTCGTGTATTCTTCCCGAAATTTCGGATTTCCACTGTAAAATTTCAATAGTAGATGAGGTTTTTTCGGGGCTCATATATCTATTAAGTATTTGCGAACTTATTCTATTATTGATTGTGGTGTATAGGATGATCGAAGTCGCGTTGAATGAACTGACAGCTAAGGGAAGCGATCGGAGTGCGTGGAGATTGTCTATCCATCAAATGCACACATAAACCGGCTATTCTGCTGCCTCGTCGATTCACGACGAGATTCGCCGAAATATCTGGTCGTTTACAGTTTCTGTAGCGTTTTTTTTTCAGGATATAACATCATCAACAAACATATCTTCAACACCAACAACAAGGGAGGTCATTCTTTCTGCGTTCTCGCCCGATTAAATCGGGATTGCCAAAAGTACTTCTGTGAATCGATCAAGCAGCCAAATACGAATGATAGTGGTGAAGTTCAATATTGTTATCGTGCTTCGTAAACGGAAATAAATCTGGGTAGCAAAAAGTGTGTTCGGAAGTTATAGATGAAGTCGGTTATTTCTTCATATTCGACAATCTTTTCCTTTCAAAAAGGAAGTGTGGAAAGGCAACTGTGTATTTCTTATTTGCAATTTATATAGCTTGTCTTACGAATGTGTTTAACACAGTAGTTAAAGGTGCCTCGTAATACAAACGTGGCTTTCGTTTCGATCACAAACCTCGGCAAACCGAGCTTTCATTCCTTACCGTTTAGGTAAAGCCACCAGATTTGTGTGAGAGGATAAACACATTGACTTCATACATCGATAGGCACTGTGTGGGCCAGATATGCATTCGATCACCTGTACGATGCTACGAATGGAGTCGAATTGATTTGTCCTAATATCCTAAAATAGTACTGCTAGAGGACTCCTATGTTTCCAGAAAAGGCAGTTGTGGATTGAATGGAAACTTTTTCAGAAACGTCCAGCATCAACTTTGAACTGTTGATGGATTGATGAGTGGGTGGTTGGTGTTTACCATATGAATTTTCAACCTCTTTTCTTTTCAACACCTTCCTTAGATCTATGTACTACAAAAATATCAAGCATTTATTTCGACTGGCATCCATTCAACTTATCTGGAACATTTCAGATGGCAGCACTTTCGTTTCATATCCTTGACAAAGAATAACATGGAAAAATTCAAGTTTTGCTTTTCTTCTATTATTTTTTTAAGGTGTTATCACACCTTCACAGTTATCTCCGCAGAAACCACTAATCGTGGATTTTCAGTAGGATTTCTATCTCCCTCAAATTACGAAAATCT